CTGTCCCCTCCCGGTCACCTCCGCGATGAGATCATACTGCACCTGTCCTCTCCCGGATCAGCCGATTTTATTTCCTGCCGCCGCCGCCGCCGTGTCCCCCTCCGAGTTCGAGGTGAAAAAGTCATTTTTTTCCTGTTCTGAAATCACGCACTTTTTGTGAAATGCACCACATACACACACACGCACTCCCATTCCCATGCATATTATAAGGTTCTCCCGTCGGCGACTTGTGTCTTTTTCGGAGGGCGCTCGACACACCGCCCCACACACACGGCTCGTTCTTTTTCGTGATTTATAGCAAAAGGCCCGCTCCTTCTGGCGGCCTCCTTTTCCTCCCCTCTGCCCTCGGCGCCCTTGAAGGCTGCTGCTGCTGCTGGTGTGAAACACCCCTCCGCCCCCTCCCCCTCCCCGCCCTCATATGTGCCATGTGTCTGTGTGTTTTTCGCCTGTTTCGTGGAATGTAATGTGATCCGATTGTGTGTGTGTTGCAGAGCGACAGTGAGGGCAGCACCTCCAGCCTGGAGCTCGGGTCCGGGGTCGCCGGCATCGCCCTCCACGGCACGCCGCCCCCGCCCTCCGCCCAGGAAGCCGTCAAGTGCAGGTGAGTCGAGAGTAGAGCAGAGAGTAGTAGTTAGGCCCTTCGCCACCACCTGCCCCCCCGCCGAGCGCGCGCCGTCGCCACCTGCTGCTGCGCGAGGTAGGGACCGTAGGGACGCGCCTCTTCTCCGGGAGAGCGGCGCTCGGTCCTCGCCGTGCGTTGAAGTCCTTTTCGGGGTGGATGGCGATGGGCTCCCCGGGAGGAGAAAGGGTTGTTAACGGGTTCTTCGCGTGGGAAAGAAGGAGGAGGCCGCGGCAAATCAAAAATGCACATCTTTAACAGATTTCGAAATTTATAATAGCCAACCTGGATCTTCTCATGTGTAGCGGGCGGGGGTGGCTGAGGCCGCCGCTCCAAATGTAATGAAAACTCACGATTCGATCGCATATTTTATGACGGGTAAGGGGGTGGGGGGGGGCGCCGTTAAGGGGTTGGGGCGCTGGACGGCTCATCGGGCTAAGATAAAAGGAAAATGGAAATATGATGGGAAGTGGGGGAGCGGAGCGGAGGGACGGAGGGGGCGGTCCAGGCGCCCGGCCGCCCGGCCCCGGGTCGGTCGGTCAGACCGGTTCAGTTCAGGGATGATTTATACATGAGCGCTCCCTCCCCGTCTCTCTCTCTCGCTCCCTCTCCCTCCCGCACTCATCGCGGAAGGCGGACGCGTTCTCGTTTCCGATCGCTCCGCTTTTTATCACGTGCGCGATGACATTTCGGCATAATTTTGCATCGATGATGATAAAGCTCCAGGGCTGCTGCTGCTGCTGCGACATCTTGTTGCGGTGGACGCGATGATTCCCACACGATCTGCCGGTAACCGGCGTCGGCAGGTGAACGCCCCGCGTCTCTATGATGGGAACTAACCGAGAGGGGACATGGGGAAGGGATGAACCTCACGACGGTCCTTCTGGCACTCTGACTAACGTGTTTGTTTGCTTGTTTGTTACAGATGGCAGCACTGCGGCCTGTGGCTGGCCAACCTGGACGCGCTGGCGCTGCACGTGACGCTGGCGCACGCCGCGGCCGGTCGCGGGGGGCTCTTCTACTGCGGCTGGGAGGGCTGCTCGCGCGGCTACCGCGGCTTCAACGCGCGCTACAAGATGCTGGTGCACGTCCGCACGCACACCAACGAGCGGCCGCACCGCTGCGCGCTGTGCGACAAGAGCTTCAGCCGCGCCGAGAACCTCAAGATCCACGCGCGCTCGCACACGGGCGAGCGGCCCTACACCTGCCCGGTGCCCGGCTGCAACAAGGCCTACTCCAACTCGTCGGACCGCTTCAAGCACACGCGCACGCACGCCGTGGACAAGCCGTACGTGTGCAAGGTGGAGGGCTGCCCCAAGCGCTACACGGACCCGTCGTCGCTCCGCAAGCACGTCAAGACGTACCGGCACTTCCCCAGCGCGGGCAGCACCCCCAGCGACCACGACAGCCCGCGGCCCAGCCCGCAGGGCAGTCCCCAGGGTAGCGAGCGCGACAGCCACAGCCCGCTCAGCCCCAGCTCTGACGAGGAGGCCTCCGAGGCCCGGGGCAGCGCCTTCCGCCCCGTCGGCGCCGCCGTGTCCCCCCTGGCCCTGGAGCGGCCGCCCCTGCCCGGCGAGTGCCGCGGCATCCCCATCAAGAAGGCCATCAGCGCGAGGGTGCGCGCCACGGGCACCGCCACCGGCCCCAAGAACTGGGCCGGCGGCAGCGTGTGGGTGGGCACCGCGGCCGGCACCTCGGCCGGCACCTCCTCCCCCGACGCGCTCAGCCTGTCGCTGTCCCCCAGCTCGTCGCCGTCGCCCTCCCCCAGCAGCAGCAGTGGCAGCGCGGTGGCCCCGGACTGGTTCAGCAGCCCCAACGCCGGCACGCCCCTGTACGCGTCGCCCATGAACTCGCCGTCACCGCCCTGGGCCTGGGGCCCCATGCTCTCCCTCTGGGCCTTCCCCCCCGTCCCCGTGCCTGGCCACGTCACCCCCATGTTCAGGCCTCCCGTCGTGCCCATGGGCCCCGTGGGATTCGAGGAGCCCGCCGCTGAACCCACCCCTCTAGACTTGTCCATCACCAGGCACTGAATGTGTTCACCCAGGACATTTGCTCATCGTCACGAGTCACTCTGTGTTCATTCTGTAATCTTATATCATTGTTATGAAGTGTTTCGCTCAATAGACTTAATTTTTATAGTTTGATATTTTGTTGTACCTGACAGTCATTGTGACTTGATGTTCAAGCACGGTAATAAGGTCTGATTATTAGTTTAGTTTTAGTGAGATTATAGATTTTATTTTTTTAATGATTTTGTGTCCTTTTTTGTTGTACATTGTGACTTGTGAGTTGCAATAATATGATATTCCATACATGGTCTCACAAATTTTCATCAAGTCATAGGGTGCAATGAGTCTTTGTGAGTGTCTTTACAGATTCTGTGCCATTATAGATGTTGAGTTCTGTATTTTTATTTTTGTCAGAACTTCTTCATCAATTTGTCCATGCATTGATTTGTTTTTATTTGTATTTATTTATGTAAGTCTGCAAATTACAATAAATTTGTGATATATTCTGAACACACCTTTCTTCTTTATTGTCCTCTGGCACATGCACGCGTGTCACTAACTACAATGAGGTGATAATTCAATTTATCGTGGGTAAAAGAGAAGAGGTTTTCTTGAATATTGACTAATCTATTTCATGAAAAACAATGCCACTAAACTTCACATCACATTTCATAGCCAAACAAACTAGCAACTTTTGAACAAAAATAAACATGTTAAACTTAAACCCACTAAGGAACACCAAATATTGCTTCATACAAATATTGTGTTGTACTCTACAAATAATTGACAAGACTAGCCACAAGTAATAGTAGATTTGAGCGACACCAATACGAGTTGTTACAGCAACAATTTTCCCTACATGACAATGACAACAATACAAAAGTAAATTTTATAAAACACGATAAAGTCAATTACAATAAGTCAACAATACTGATAAGAAACGGAAGTACATCATTTTCACCACTAAAAACATACCTAGCTTCTTAAAGCTAAATTTCTATCAAATGGGGTGGTGTTGCAAATGGCAGTACTTTTTAAAGAAAAAAACAATTTGTGGCGATGGTAAGCATACCGCATTCTCTGCGCCCAAGAAAAATCCCTGTTGAACAATTACAGAATGCATCTACACTTTCACATAATATGTTACTTGTAAGTACTCAGAGTGGGCTTTTTAAAAACCTATACAACATGCAACATGTGAGATGCAAGAGAAACCACCACATACCTTGTTTTATACAGTCTAAAGAGTCAAACACAGCTCAAGTTAATCACATATTGTGCTTATAGAAGTAAATATGTATCACTTAAAGGAAAGAAGTAAACATTTTGTACTCTCTGAGAAATACATATGAATGTGATAAAAGTAACCCTAATGGAGTGAAAACTCAGTGAAGCTGCAAGTCTGATAGGAATTAAACCTTCTGAGTAGATTTGCCAGCAAATCTAGATTCATTACAGAGGAACAAAACAGACTACTTTGACGATTGACAGTGAATTGGCAGTGAATCACAGCATGCATTTTATGAAGTTTTAAACTAAGTAGTAGCAGAAATAAGGTCTAAGTTAACAGTCTTTGACTTCATAAGTTAGCAGAAATCACACAGAAAGCTTCACAATGAAGACAACAGAACAAGTAGAAAAATAATGAGTGTTTTTTTGGCACGTAACATATTAGTCCTCTGTCAATGCTACCTTCCTTTGCTATAATTTGCAGTCAAATATAGAGTAGCACAAATGGAAGTCCAAACATTGCGGGAAATGCAGCTCACTACATATCTTCTTTGGTTGTAATTAGCTCTTGCCCCACTAACAGAGATTCGTCACAAAACGTCAGAATGATGGAAATTTGCATCACTCAGAAGTGGTTTTAGACAACAAAACGTCATTTTTCATCACAAATATGCCAATCTGATGTTTAGAGACGAATCTCTGTTGGTAGAGAGGGTAGTTACCGGTTTTTGACGTTTTGGCGATTTTCACAACCATTTAAGTAAGGTACACATTGTACTTTAGGCACAACAAACAGGTACACAATTCCTTAAACAGTACACAGTGTGCTAAAAAAGCATCTATACTCAGAACGTAAGATATTACATTTAAAAGGAATGTACATGTACCATTTAACAAATTTTAGATAAAAATATACTTTGAACTGTTACTTAACAACAAAATAACTTCTAAGAATTGAGCTTGTTAAAGATATATTTTTCAGACTCTTT